GGAGGGCTGCCTGCGCGGACGGGCTTCAGCCTGCGCAAGGGCAGCCCGCAGCGACGTCCCAGGGCACAACGATCCTCGCTCCGAGGCGCGCCGGGGTGAAAGGCCCAAGCCAGGTTATAAGCAGGGCAGCAGCATGCAAGATCAGAGAGAGGAGGGGGGGGAAAGGGCATCTTCCACCTGGCTTTAAGGTAGGCGGTGGAGGAGCAGCAGGGAAGGAGTTTCCAGAGGTGTGGCTCGAAATGTTAGCTAACTCCTGATTTCCACCAAGAACCAGCATCTGCTTTAAGGGTCACTGTTGACCGGCATGAAAGCAGTTCTTGACTCTTGCAATCTGGTGAAAGTATACTAGGAACATGTACAGGAGGAGAATAACCTATTTGAAAAATATGTCCTGCTGATAAATACACTGAAAAAATCACTTAAATGGCCTTCAGCACGAACTCACCATGGTTAAGAGTTGAGGCTCGCTTCATTTCCTCGCTGAATACGCCTCCCTCAGCCACAACCACAAGGAAGGGTTTTGAGGCCATTCGGCGGGGGGAGGCCCTCGGCGTAAGTTAGGTCCAGGCTCTGCCTTGGCTTGGGCAGAGCTTTCACGCTCCGTTTCAGCTGTCTGCCTCTGCTCCTAGTCTCCCACTGTTGTGTCTCCTTCTATCAGCTCTTCAGCACCTTTGTCCATGCCATCCCTTTCAAGCCACCAGGTCCAGCAGTTCTCCTGCCTCAGCCTCAACAGTCTGAGTAACTGTCCCAAGGGCAGTATTTCTGGCACCGGTCCTTCTTGGTCCTAAGGTTGAGACATTCTACCACACTAATGTGAGTTTTAATATTGTCACTGACTGAAGAAGAAATATGTTGAGAAACACTGTAGAACAGTATCTCAGCCTATTTTTACCTAATTGCAATTGGCTTTAATAGGTGGAGTTTTGTGGTACGTACCTGAAAATGTTGCTAAAGGTCTGTAACTATTTTGGCTGTAGTTTTCCTGCTACACACTTACTTTATGATGCCCATAAAATAAGTTCTTAAATAGTGTCTTTATTTACAGTACAACATATTTAAAGTTATTGTGTGATGCTGGGCTTTGTTAGCATTACCATGTTCCGCTCTGTTTATGCATTCTTGCCCTTGGGATCTGGAAGATAAAGTGAAAGACAGATACATTTTTTTCTGTCCTACTATATTTGTTCTTCTGTTGTTAACCAGGACAGTTACTCTATTGCCTCCACCTTCTGTTCTTTTCTATTCAGGAATCCACCAAAGATTAAGCCACAATGTATGCCTCTCAGAAGTGATAAGTGAACTTAACCCAAGCCGAGTTTCTCCATACCAAAAGAATTTTTGGGTCTTGGCTTTCAAAGAATCAAGACGTGGAGAACTGCTCTAAAATACTAAACGCTACGAAAGGTTCTATCCTTTCTCCTTTTAACAGGGTGAAAAATAATGGTAGAGATCACAAATTCAAAAGTAGCTCCTTCAATCTAGTTTCAGAAGAGAGAAATACCTGTGTTTTCTAATTCTTTTATACAACTCTGATATAGGAAAATCTGAGGAGAAACAGCAGTTAAGATCTTTCCTTAACATGACAGCATGTCTGACAGGTTTTCTCATGCATGTTTTTCAGTGCAAACGCATTGATGATATACATGGTTGCATGTTAGATTATGACACGTGACATCAGTGGGTGTGTGCAGGTTGGAGGAGGACTGGGTTAATTCTTCAGCAGCACGTTAAGAGGAACTGAATGGACTTCAAGCCTGGGCCCAAAGCACGTTTTTGCTAGCAGAGGGAGCATCACAGAACCAGTCAGGTTGGAAGAGGCCTCAGGAGGGCTCTAGCCCAACGCTCTGCTCGAAGCAGGGGCGGTCAAAACTGAGTTCAAGCCACGTTGCTCAAGGCTTCGTCCTGTTAGGTATGAAAGCCTCCAAGGACAGAGATTTCACAGCTTTCTTGGGCAGCCTGTATCAATGCTTGCCTGTATGCCTTGATGTTTGTAGGGTTCTGCTCATGTAGTCTCACAGTAAAGGCAAAGTTAGTACATAAACACTGAGTGAATGGGTTAATGGCAATTATTCCTGAACATGTATTTTTAATGTAGTGTTTGTTGTTGTTCAAACATGTACAACCTTAGTAATGCATTAATGTATTTTGTTGCATTTAATATAATTTCTGATCTCATGCTTTACACAGTACTGCTATTTCACCCAAACTGAAGTCATTTTTTATATTAAACAAAACCTATGTTGTTGATTAGCAATACCTGGCAGCCTTCTCCAACATATGATTCATTTTTTTAAACACATCATAGCAAAGTTCAGGAATGAAATCTTGGCTCTATTGTAGTCAGTGGAAAACCTCTCACTGATTTGAGTGAGATCATTATGTCATCCCAGAAGTATCCTTAGTGTATTCATTGCTGGCAGAAGACTAACATTTGCTTAATCTCAGGTTAACATTTGTCCTGTGTGTTTGTAGATCTTAATGTTTTTCACACGGTGAGTTTGGTACCACTGTTATAATATCTCAGTTTGGAGATGGCTGGACATTTTTCAAAACCGTTTGCTGTTAAATATTAAATGAGTTCTCTCTATACCTGAGAAGTATCAGTGTTTATTCAGTCTCATAATACTGTTTTGCACTGTTTATTATTCAGGTGGTTTATTCAGTCCTACCAATTCTGAACTTGAAAATGTCTTTCAATGAAAGGCTATCGTGACCCTCTTGGCAATTTCTTGCTGTTATTAAGATTGCCAGAAAAAGCAACTAAGTGCTATATCAGTTTGTCATATTAATGGGAAAATTCTAGATCTCGCTCACTGAAGTATCATATGCATGCTCCATTGCTAAGTCAGTAAATAAGTCAGCAAAGGTATACAGGTAAAAGAACATTTTAATTTCCCTTTAAGGAAATAACTCGCCTCTTGGTGCTGCAATTTATCTTTTGAAATACAAAACTATTCTTAGCATACGCAGAGATTAAGCATGATGTAGTCATAATTTACTTGGCTGCTAATGAATTCCAAATATAAATTTAGGCCCACTTGTTATATTGTAAATCAAAGGTAAAACCAAAGTCCACACTATTATAGATTTATAGCGTTATTCAAATGTTAGCACAGACCAGAGGAGTAGGTCTTAGTTGGATATCTTCAAGTTTGTTCAACTACAGGGTATTTCTCTACTTAGTGACCTTATGATAAAAACATACAATGTACTTTGAATAGGCAAGCAGAGAAAAACTAATCCTGGGAAACAATCAGTAACACAAAACATAATAGCATCCTGATAAATAGCTGTAGTGTAAAATTTTTGTACACTTCATATTTTGGACTTGCTTCTTTTCTTGCTGAAGACAAAAATGCTCGAGGCCATTGGTGGTACCTTAGCATTTAAAGAATTGACTGATTCCTCAGCCAACTGAAAATGGGCTAAAAGCCATTAGACATTCAAGGACACATCAGTGTAAGGCAAATGAAAAATGACAGTGTTGTTAAGGGAACAGATTTTTGAACACCATTTTCGGCAATTGATTCTTACAATTCTCATACATTCATGAGGGATGTAATGAGACAACTGAATATACAGAACATGGAATGTGTAATGTGTTGGTTTTATGTTATTTTCCTGTACTTGGTGGAATACATTGTTAAGTCAAATATAAGTATGCTTCCATCTGCTAGAGTGCACACAAGAATGATATGAGCCTTTCAATAGTGAGGTTAGTCACTGGAAGATCTTTTACTTTTCCTCTGCAGCAGCAGAAAGCTGTGATTTGACCACAAACATTTTTGGTCTTTCTTCTTTTTTGTAAGGGTGAGATTAAGACCCTTTTTGTACGTAGTTATCATTATCGATGATGGCAGCAGCGTCAGGCTTCAGAGCATTCAACTACCACTTATATAGTTAGGCCCTTCCTTGTCAGTTTGAATTTAGGAGATAGAAAATGTTGATAATTCTTTGTGCCATTTTCGTCCAAATCTGGGCAAAGCAATTGATGCAAAACACTTCAGAAAGTAATTTGCATCTGAGCATAAACTCAAGCTCAAGGGCCCCATAATCTTTGAAGCTGCATCAACTGATAAATGGTTGTGTGCTGGGATGTCACTAGGACTGTCTGATAGCTAGACAGGGAATTTATGAGCAAGATTAGAGCAAGCAGATCCTGCGGTATCTCGAGCTGCCAGGTTGACCGGCAATCAGTACGTGGGACACCTCATGAGGCACCTAAACAGCAGGTCTTTCCTGAGCATCAGGATTACTGGGAGATCTGTACTATGCCATAAGTGGTTCTGGTGTGGAGAAGAGCCTTTGGTGTAGCTGGTGTTTTCCGGAGTTCCTGTGTGACGATGAATGCGGGGAGCAGGGAAGAAGGGTTGCTATGGGAGAGACTGGAGAGGTGGGACTGTGTGGGATAAAGCTCTAGAGTTAACATGCCAAAGTACCCAGCCAGCTATTGTTAATCAGAAGGTTAAAATTGCTAGTGGTACCTTAGAATATAGGAATGGCTGTTGTGGTTGAGATCAGGGGCAATATATCCCAGTGTGCTGATTCTAACAGCAATTAGAAGTGGATAATCAAAGAAGAATAAAAATAGGACAGAGAGATGTATATGACACTTCCCAAGAGCAATCTCCAAGTGTCCAACTGATGGATTTCCTGCTCTCTGTGGACGTTTTTTCCAAGTACTTACCCAGTCTCCTCTTGAACACTTTTTGCATGTGTGACATCCTTCGACAAGAAGTTTCACAGATCTGCTATCCATTGCCTGGCCAAAACCCTCCCTTCCTGTTTGTTTTGAGAGTGGCCCCTTTGTTCTATTTGATGGCCTCTAGTTTTTATACCGGAAGAGACAGTGAACAGTCAAGCTCTAATCCATCCTCCCTGTTTTTGTAGACATCTATAACATTGTCTCCATAAGTTGTCTCTTTTCTACAACTGTAGCAATTTCAAGAGACAATGTCAGATTTTGATAACGTCAAAATCCAGTTTGCAGTGACTTTAAGAGAGTGACCTAAATAGCGGGAGATTTTGGACCAATTCTTTGAAGAGTTTCATCAGTTGAAGAACAGCCTGAGACAAAAACTGAGTTTGACAAGTCAATAGAAACATAAAGATCAAACTGCAGTTCCTCTCTCCCCCTTTCCATCAGAGCAATGACAAGTAGTGCACTGGAGTTAAATTTTTAAAAATGTATTAGCACTGTACAAAAAAAGTAGCCAAAAATAAAGAATACATAGATAAGTATATAAACATAAGTATGTAATTAGAACTGACCACCAGACAAGAAAAAACTGTCTTAAATAGCAGTGGTAACTTGAGAAATAATTCTACAAAACCAGCATTGTGGTGTTCTATGCTCATTACATCCCTATCAATTTGATATTCTTACAAACAAAATCGTGCTCTTTATCAGTGTTAGTTTGAAGAATTCATTTGGCAACTGAGAGTCAAATTTTACCTTTCCTTTGCTGTGTTAATACACACAGCAACTTTGTGATGCTAGTTCTGACCTCAGCATCTCCCGAGCATTCGC